GTCCAGCACCGCTGCCGCACCTCTGACGCGCTGCTCCCAACGCTCGGGGACGCCGGCAGTGGGTGCCGGAACGTCCTGTTGCGACCGATCCATGCCTTTCGCGCCGCCTGTCAAACATCCACGTTGTCACAACAACCCCACCACACCCATAAATCCCACCAATTGAAACCGACAACGTAACCGCCAGGTCCCCCTGGACGAGTTGCTGGACGATTTGGAGGCCATGGGCCTGGAGGAGGAAGACGAGGGGGCGGACGGCGGCGGTTACGGCGGCGGCGGCGGCAGCGACGAGGAGATGGGCGACGCGTGAGCGATGGCGAGCTTTTCCACGGGCTGGCGCGGGCCGCTGTGGCCACATGCATATCGGCGTTTATTCCTGAGGCGCCGCCGTGCGGGCGCCCGCTGCCGGGACCAGCGCGCCCCTTGGGCCTGTGGGCCGGCCGCAAGCCTGTTTGCGCACGATCGCACAGGCGCTTCGCTGCCCGCCCGTCGACTGGCGCCCCGCGCGTTGGTTCTTGCATCTGATTGTGAGGCATGAAGGCAGCGACGCAGGCGGCTGAAACACCGCCGCCTGTCGCCGTGGCGCGCGAGTCTGTCACCAGCGTGTCCGCCGGGCTCTCTTGACTTGTGTGGGAGTTGTAACATCATGCAGCGTCGCCATGCCATCGCCCACGTGTCCCGCGTCTGCAGCAAGCAGCAGGCACGAACAGACTGTGTGCACAGGGGTGGTGGGAAGTCACTGTCTCTGTCATCATCACCATTGATATCGCCGCTCCCCAGCAAGCAGGTGACCCTGACAAATAGGTTAGTGGAGCCAGCAGCTGGCTGCCATGTTATCAAACAGCCGCAACACACTGATGCACCATGCCATGTTAACATCAATGCTCGCAGCGTTGGCAAGCTTTTGGGGGCTTTTTTGCTCAGGCAGCACCCCTCTTGCCTACCTGCTTGTGTTCTTCCATCAAGGGCACTGCTAGAGACAGGCATTTTGACGCGATCGTGCAATTGGGGCTGTTGTTTACGGCAGTTCCTGCCTCCCATGCCGACTCGTGAGTTCTGCAGCAGCTCAATACAAGCTCTCCATTTCTGCAGCAACTCGCATGAGATGACAGCTGCAGCAACACATCCAAGCAGGGGGCCAGGTTTGCAGCGCCGCCTCAAAGCCGGCGAGGGCGTCGACAGACGCACCTGCCCTGGCACTCAGTGCTTTCTGCAGCGGGGCGTGGGCTTGGTGGGCCAAGGACTGCGCATCTGCAGGCAGCTGCCAGTTTGACCTGAGCTACTCACATAATCGCCCGACGTCGCTGCCAGCGAATTCAAGGCCCAGGCTGCAGCTGCTGCTCCAAGAGCAGAGGGGGGACACCGCCAGGACTGTTGGTCGGGCCAGGCGAGTTTGCCAATGCAGTCGGCCTCGCAACCTCCGGGTGACGCCCGAACCTGTGAGCCTGCTATGCAGCCTGGGCAGGCACAGCACACCCAGTGTGAAGACGTAGGATCGGCCGACGGTGTTGGTCATGGCCGCTGGCCAGTAAGTGGGTGGCCTTTCTTTCCTAGGTGTCCGCTGGGCACGCAGGATGCAAGTCGGGTCAAGCCACAGTCAAGAACACACATGCTGGATGGCTGCAGGGGCACACTAGGGCACAAAGACGCAGCAGCGGGCTGCATAGCAGCCGCAGCTGGCGGTGGGCAGCAGTTAAAGCTTGGCAGGATCGCACAATTCTTCGTTTCTCAGTGCGGGGGGAGTGCAGTGGGGCTGTTGGGGACAGCAAGGCAGTGCCGTCGGTGCCTGATGAGTCATGCATTGCGAGCGATGTGCTTCTGGTCAAGATAAAGTCCGTCGCAGAATCCTTTTGGAAAATATAACTCCGCAGCCTTCTTTCCTCCTCACCCTCGATATGTGCACAGGCGGTGAGCTTCGACCGGCCACCGCACGCAGCTCGTCGACGCAGATTCGTCTACACGCGGCCTTCGATCCCTCCGTGGCACACCAGACGAGGCGAGTTTGAGCTGTCAGAGCGAAAAAGCCTTGTGTTTTGCGCTGCTGAGACGCCAGGCAATCGGAGGAATGTCACTGCACACAGGTGTGCTGTGCAGCGCAGCATCATTTGACTCATTTTCTCGAGACCAGCGCAGCATGCGGCCCCGTGGCGCTGCCGCCGTATGTATCAGGCGCGCTGGGAAACACACACCAAAAAACTGGCTGTCACGCAGCTGGCTGGTGGCAGCGCTCGCATTCCAGCATGTCCCGCCCCTAAACACCTGGCACAAAGCAGTCAACTTGTGCGAGGTGTCAGCCTGACCACCATGGGCCGAACAGGCGCAGGCAGTGCGAAATCACTAGGCCTCTTATAACCGCAGTGTTTGTGCGAGCTGATTCCAGCCATGTTGACCGTGAGTGGCAGCAAGCCCGTGCACAGGCCAACACGTGCAGGTTGGAGGTTGGGTCAAACCGTCCCGCTGATGACCCTCCGATGCCGAGTTCGCTGCCGCCACTCCGCCGCCGTGATGCCGGTGATGGAACTCCTTCGTGCAGCTCATCATTGTTCATTGCTGCGGTGGTGCAGCAGGCGCTGGCTTGGGGACGCACACAACGGGGCGCACACAAATTTCGGCATTTGGCAGGTGCACAGCGCAATCAGTGGAGCGAACCTGGACTTCACACTGCGTTCGGCAGCGGCAATCTTAGAGCCACAAAGAGAGGCCCACATTAATTTTGCTGTTGCGCTCACTCATATGTCGTTTACGATCACATGAGATGCACGTTTTGCCACCTTCAGCACCAGAAAACCACCCTGCAATAGAGATAACCTGCAGCTATCCCTGCCCATCCCCCCAGGTACGCGCAGACCGTTCAAGCATGCTTTCATCTTGCCAAAATTGCACAATACCCCGTGCTTTGCGCTTCTATATCGGCGTCAAAGAACTCGCGACTTCCGCGTTCGTCCCCCAAAGCTCGAACATATGTACGGACTCTGCGAGCCAATCCAATCGCGGCCTTATCATGATGCATGCAGCCGGCGCAGGGGCCGTGGATCCCTGCCAGGCGCAATGCTGCTATCAGCACACCCTGCTGATTACTCAATGTGGCTAGCTCTTCTCAACATTGACCACCTCGCCTCTCGTTCGCCCCGCATGTCAAGGCAACAAAATTGTGGACGCAACACCTCTTGGCAACAAACAATGGCTCGATTGATGTTCGTCACTGCTCTGACCGGGCTGGCCCTCCTGGCCGCTGGCGTAGCGGGCGAGGATTCCTGCGTTGCCTGCAACACAGATGCATGCAAGCCCTTGTGCACGGCCAGGACCGACAACCTCCTCACTGGTATCAGCACCATCACCCTTACCAGGTGCGCTTGGCTGCCCGGACCGGGCAAGCGTGCAAACGCCGCCCTAAAAGTTGCCCTGCTGTGCGTGCTTCGCAGTGGACCTCAAGCCCATGCCCCGCAGCTGCACTTGAGGGCTTGATGTTCAACATTGCCTATAAAACCACTTATGTCTGATTCCACACCCCATCCCTCCGCCACCGACCACACCCAAAACGCTCTCCGCCGCCCTCAAAGCACGGCCTGCAAGTCCCAGGGCATCAGCTGGCTGGCCTGCCTCCGCTCCGACATCGGCGCCTGCGACGTAGTCCCGACCAGCTGCCTGCCCAACCCCGGCGCGACCGACGACACCGCAAAGTCTAAGTGCACCGACAACAGAGATGACATCGCAGGGGGCGTCCAGAGCGGGCAGTGGACGGTCCCAAGATCCGCTCAAGAGGTCACAGTCCAAATGCACGACGGCCGCTTCATCGGCGACAAGGTGTGCGACAAAACTGCGAACTATCCCGACATCAAGTACTGCGCCGGCGGCTTTGGCAGCTCGTGCACAGCCCCTTCCGGCGTGTGTGAGGTCAAGGTAGGCAGGGTTTGGGGTCTGGGTTGGTTGGGCTGTTGCGCAGATAGCTGTGCGCTCGGGCTCGCGTACAGGGCAAGGCAGAAGCAGGCAGGCGAGGCTTGCGAGTGGATGGACACAAATTGTCCCTGAGAGCCCGCTGCGGGCGCCGCATGGAGCCAGTGCCCATCACGGCCAGGCAAGCGCAGCCAAGAAAACGCATCACCTGATCCTGATCCTCATCCTGCTCGCACTCCAATCACACATCCCCTGGCTCTCCTGGCTCCAAAATGCGTGCAACACGCTTCACCACCGCCACAAACCTACTGACAGGTGGATCTCCGCACATGCCCCCCTGCCCAAGGCCCTACCACGTGCACGCAAGACTCCCAATGCTCCCAGACCGGCGCCAAGGCCTGCAGCAAGTTCGTTTGCAACAGCGGCAGCTGCCAGGAGGTGCGGGGATAGCAAGCATGCAATGACGGGGCGGGCAGCCTGCGCGTTGGTGCAAGCGGGGCTCTGGAGAGCGCGCAGCGCTACGCGACCCCTAGGGGGTGCAGAGCCTGGGCAGGTTGCACAGCAAGATGCGGACAGCCGGCCTCACAGAGCGGCAGACGGTTTGACTGCAGTGATCTGGGTCCAGAGGGGCGCAAACGTCCCACGCCTCAGAGCTCAGAACCCTCCGTGCGCTCCATCCCTGTCGTCACGTGCGCTGGGCTGACGCTTCCATTGACTCAAGTTGTTCGCGGTGCCCCACCTTACCCCAGGTGCCTGTCCCCGCTGCCGACAAGAAGGTGTGCCTCGCGGCCAACCCGTCAGATCTTTGTGATGTAGACGACATCTGCGACGGCACCTCCCTGACCTGCCCCGCCATGTTCAAGCCCCTGGGCACCGAGTGCCGCGCGGCTGAGACGTCCTGCGACGTGGCCGAGACCTGCTCGGGCATCAGCAAGGACTGCCCTGCGGACGCCGTCAAAGACAAGACCGTCCCCTGCCGCGAAGCCAAAGAGTTTTGTGATGTGACTGAGTACTGCACCGGCGACGTCGCCGCCAAGGCCTGCCCCACAGATGTTGTCAAAGACAAGACCGTCCCCTGCCGCGAAGCCACTGAGTTCTGCGATGTGACTGAGTTCTGCACCGGCGACGTCGCCGCCAAGGCCTGCCCTGCTGACGTCGTCAAGGACAAGACCACCCCCTGCCGCGAAGCCACAGAGTTTTGCGACTTGACTGAGTACTGCACCGGCGACAACACTGCCAAGGCCTGCCCTACAGACCTTGTCAAGGACAAGTCCATTGTCTGCCGTGCAGCCGTGGGCGGCGACTCCGGGTGTGACATTGCAGAGTACTGCAGCGGCTCCAAGGACGACAAAAAGTGCCCTGATAACAAGTTCAAGCCCGCCGGCGCGGCGTGCGGCAACAAGGCTGACGGCGGCGTGTGCGACCTGGACGACGCTTGCCCCGGCAACACAGCCACTTGCCCAGATCTCAGGAAGACGTCCGGCTACACCATGAAGTGAGCCCGGGGCTCTGGGGTTGCTTTGCAAGCGGCTGCGGGGTTGCTCTTGGATCTGCCATGCCGGGAGATGGGTGCAGAATGTCGGGGCGTGAAAAGTGGCCGGCGTGCGCTCCCGCCTGCACCCGTTTGCATGTTAGCAAGCAAATGTCCGCACGGGTGCCATATGGGTTCACAGGCGCGAATGTGCACGCATGTGTGTGCGCGCACACGCACATGCATACAAGAGAGCGCACACACCAACCTGAAAGCCTGCCCCCTGACCACACAAACATACACACACGCATAGGGCTGGCCTGTACACATTTGTGTGCAACATCAAAGAGTCAGACCTGGGCGTCAATCAGGCCAAGACTGTCTGGCAGCTGGGCGGCTGCACTCTGGGCGCCGCCAAGGGCTACACCGCCACGCTCTCCGCATACAAGAAGCTGGTGGCCAAGGCTGCTAGGGCCAAGAAGCAGGGCAAGGTGTCCACCGCAGCTGTCGTCATGGGTGACAACCCTTACGTGATTGAGATGGACCCCACCACTTGCCTGACCCAGTGCCCGACGCTGAAGGTCCCGACCCCTGACGGAACCAAGGGCCTGAGGTGGGGAAAAACCCTGATGGATTCGCGAGCTGGTGTCACGGCATGCATGCAGGCAGGGAAGGCTGCGGGCACCAGGGAATCATTCCCTGGCATGATGCTGATGGGCGGGTTGGGTGGTGCGCGACAGCCGGCCCTTCGTTCCCATCTCCGGCCCGCATCCAGCGGGTGGACTTGCTGCAAGTCGGGCGGCGGCCGCATTCCCGCCCCTCCCAATGCTGCCATCCGCTTCCTGCAATCAAAGCGCGCTGCTGCAGCAAGCTGAAGCTATCCTCATGATCCCGCCCGGCACCACCACTGCCCCCGCC